GACCATTATACCACGTGCTGTATGCGACGGCCAACACTGGCCAACACCTCTCAATGCTCGGACGCGTTGTCTTCGTTGTCATTGGCGTCGTCGTCGTGAGCTGTCAATAGGGTGTGGCGAACTAGGCCCGCTGTGATTGGTCCCAGCTGCGGCAGACGTCGTTGTCAGCACCCAATCACAGAGCTGCTTTGCCGATCCAGACGGCGCGAGAGAGCATGCCCTGTCCCGACCCTGAGGCATTCTCGAACGATGCGCGCGCCGTGTCTCCTCGTATGGCTCTCCACCGTAGCCGCTACGTCGCAGGAGCCGTGGTCGACAACGGTGTCGTCCGAGGCCGGCCGCCTTCTCGAGGCCGCCCACGCCCTCCGGTACCTCAAAGCAGTGGCTCCTTCCGCTCACGCAATCACTAGGGGCGTGGACGAACACAATGCGACCGCATTGTACACGCAAGTCACTGCCATGGGCGACGCGGCAGCGACAAGCGAAGCCCTCTACGCATTGGGGGACCTCGCGTTTCCGAGCGATGATGCGCACAGTTTGTTCCAACAAAGTGCTGCTCTTGGGCACGCGCAGGCGCAGCACACACTTGCGCTCCTTGCCGCAGTTAACGCCAAGCCGTCGCTTGCTACGTCAGTGCTATACGATATGTTTGCCGCGGCTGGTGGCGACTCGCGAGCGGCCCAAACACTCGGATATCGAGCTCTGTACGGTTTGGGCACGCCCGTCTCGTGCGCGACGGCCTTGCAATACTACAAGCAGCGAGCCGCGACCGTGGTTACTGACGGCGCTACCATGGTTGCCGGCCAGTGGCGCAAGCCGATATCCCTCGCCGATGACGAGAAGCGAGATCCTATCCTCGATCAGTACAAGCTTACGTACGTGGCAGCCTCCGCGATCAGCAGCAAAGACGGCAAGGTGCTCTTCCGCGCCGCCAAGCATCTACTGCAGCGCGGCCCCATCGACTTCCGTCTGGTTCGGCACTGGCTCGGGCTTGCGCTCGCGTATGGCGAGACGCCAGCGGCAGCGTACCTCGGCCACTTGCACGCCTTTGGCTGGGGCGGTCCTATCCATCACGCCAAGGCGCTTGCCGCATACTCTATCGCGAAGGATGTCAAGGGCGGCGAAGCGCTTCTCGGGCTTGGCCTTCTCTACTTGTATGGCCACGGTGTGGCCCAGAACACGGAGGTGGCGCTCGAGCACCTTGACAAGGCGGCGCTTCAGGGCCACGCCGAAGCCATGTACTACGTCGCCCGTATTCTCACAGCCAAGAAGCAGCTCAGCCTTGCCGCTCGGTACTACGAAGCCGCGTCCAAGTCGGGTCATGCCCTCGGCATGCACGCGTACGCTGGTATCATCGAGAAGACATCGATCCACCCGTTTCCACGCACGTGTGCGCTTGCTGTCACCCTCTACAAGCGCGTGAGCGAAGCCAGCGTCCACCCGTGGCTCGACCGCGCCCATGCGGCCTTTCACCGTGGCGACTATACAACCTCGTTCCTCCTTTACCGTCTCGTGGCCGAAGAAGGGTACAAAGTAGCGCTTGAAAATGCACTCTGGCTTGTCGAAGAAGGCTACGTGATCGCCTCTGGTACTCTGCACTTCATGAGCTCGCATCGGTCTCATGCTTCTTAGATGATGTGCGCCACCGGCTCGTCAAAGTCGCCGCCGCCCAAGGCAGCGGGCTCGGGAAGCTCCTCCAAGCCGATGCATGGTTGAAGGTTGGCGATCATAAGCGCGCGCTCGCGGCCTACACGTCGCTCGTGACCACCCCGGCGCTGTCGTACAAGCACCGTGCGCCGGCCTACTATAGCTTGGGCTACATGCACGAGATGGGCCTCGGTGTGCAACGTAGCCGCGCGCAAGCGCTTGAGTACTATCGCCAGTCGGTTGCCGTCGAACGACGCGTGACGCTGCCCATCGAGCTCTGGACGTGGAAGTGGAAGCTGCTCGATCTTCTCGGATGGGCCTGAGATGGATGACCTTTGCCAATAAATGTGAAAAACGTAATTCGCACGCGGCAATGCACCCGTGAAAAAGTGAAAAACACGTGATTCGTATGCAAGCGACTGCGTTTTGTGCCAATCAACGCAACAGGTCCGCAGCAGTCAGCTTGCGTTTTGCAGTCGCTTCCAACACCAAGGCCACGAGGCTGTCGTTGGTACCATAATATGTAGTGCGGTGGAGTCCCATCATTTCTTCTTGCTTGTGAACTTGCGACCTTGCGAACAGCAACGACGACGAACGAACGAACGACGAAAGAGAAAAGCTGGCAAGCCGCTATGGGTCGCTATCAAGCTTAGTCCTTGCCAACTTTTGGCATGATCACTGCCGGCTTGGGCTTCCACTAGTCGTACACTTGGCTTATCGGAAAGATCAATGGCGGGTCCTGACCAAGGTGCTTCGTTCTTTTAGCCGTAAGTACTATAATAGGTGTACGCCGTGAGGTCGGTTTACGCGATTGCTGCGGTCACGTAGCGACCGTCGGATTGCGTTCGCGAGGTCAAATTCGAGCGAAATCGGCGTCGAAGAAGCCCGTGCGACGCGTGAAAAACACAATTGCCACAAAACCCACATGGACGAGCCGGCGATTCTCACCATAGTAATCTTTTTTGGTCGTCTTGGATGCAGTACTCCGACTCGTGTCGCCACTGCCTCGACGAGCCCGCGGCCGCATCGGCCA